GGGGCAACACTTTTCCTACTACGCCTAAAAAAAGCAGTGAGCAAACCAAACATACTAACAATGTATACGTTCTTTAAATACACCTTAGTGTATTTTGTTTGTATAAAATATACACTACGGTATATTTTATACATACAAAATTTTCTAGTGAATATACGAGAATGTAATTAATAATGTTGAATGCATGTATTGTGTTTTAATCTTTTATTGTAGTAGTACTGGTATTGGTGTAAGGAACTAATCCAGTACATCCCGCACTAACTAGAGTGGAATCGTCAAGATTCATTTCAAGGGTCCGTCGAAAAATTAATAACACTATCCAGAGGGAATCGAACCCACAACGTTCCGAACCTGGCACTCTGAGACATCTTCAACAATTAGTTGCGATCACAAACACTGCACTGGGCAATGTACTTTCTGACTGAACAAATTAAAATTTTGAATACAATACTGGCAATTTATAAGGTATAAGGTATAAGTCAAGGAAAACTACTAGAGAGAACTACAATAATATTGCACGGCTGCTCAAATGTTTTGAGTTGCTACATAACACAGCATATTCAGCAATCAACAGACATGATTTAAAAAAAAAATAAAATAAGATTGAGTTAGGTCGGGCCATTGGATTACATATCGCCGAGCTTCAGCAAGAAAAAAATCCTGATTTGAACTGAACAGATATTTGTAAAAAAAAAGATAAGACAATTTAAATATTTTTTAGCCTTGAAATTACTTGGGCACCGATTACACAAATTTGGTAATGGAGGCGAATAAAAAAATAGATAACTTAATTTGGATTCTGTTCTATGGTTTCCTCTACTCAATAGATTTTTGACCAGTCGCTATACCTCTCTTATTAGGTAGGGTAAGCGCACCAGTTATGGACATAGCAAAAAAATTCTGTATTTTTTGGCTTATATCGCTATAATTATCATAGTTATAAACTTCCCGTTGGGCATTTAGAATATGTAAGGCCTCCTTTTTCTATTTAACACTTCAAAATTTAAAGAAAATTCATTTATGCAGATATAATCTCCATTTAAAAAAAAAAAAAACTTTTTGCACTAATGATGGACACTCCGGAATTCAATTGTTCTAGTGATTGGCAGGAGGTCGGTACCAGTAATAGACATACATCAGTAAAATTCTAAAATCTTTATTTAACTATATAGAAAACGATAATGATAAGATAAGATAAATGTTCAACTTAATCTCGACAAAACTGTTAATATGAAGGCATGAAACACACTGATCTAAAGAGTGCTATAAAAACAACAATGATAGACATTTTAAAATTTTCTTTTGGAATCTTTGTTCATACAGCTGTCAATAGAGGGAATAGTTCTTCAATCTAGAAAAACTGGAACCTTTAAATCAGCAAGGGATCTTATTATTTACATATAAACTCCAACCTGTCCATCACTGAACCCCCTGTCCATAACTGGAGGGTTCATCCTAAATCATGTAAAGCGTTTTTCGCTTTTCTTTGAGAATCTTTGCTTTGCCACGAAATAAATTTCAACGCACACAAGCTGTATTTGAACCAATAAGCACGGCGTAGATAGTTATCTGTGGCGAACAATGGAAAATTCCCCAAGAAAAAAAATTAAAAATGAACACTAAGAAGTATATACATAACAAAGAAACGTATTTTAAATTTAAAAAATGTCAGTGAGATGTTATAAATATTAAAATTTTATTATAATTAAATAACTTACATAAAAGTTTACACTAGGTTGATATCTGCGGAGAGGGGAAGTGGTGGGAGCTTATCACACAGTATATTTAGTTAATAACAAGTTTTTTTCACTTGCTAAAATTACCTACTTTAACAAAAAAGGAAAAAAAAACTCAAAAGGAAAACTAGATTTATAGCATGTTTCTTCTTCGGTATAAGTCGCCTATTTCCAAGTTATCCAACTACAAATAAGTAGTAACCTCGACTTGATCCGTAAAACTTTGAAGCGACTGTGCCAAGTTTAAATTGCTGAAGCAGCTTATTTTTTTCTTTTAAAGCTCTTGCAACTTATTCGTCACACCAATTTGCATTGGAAGAGTTGAAGAAAGCAGAGAATTATAGAAGGAATTTATAATCTATAATTAAAAACTTTATAAGGGAAAATTTAAAATTAAATTTTGATTTTCATAAATTCTTTATATGTAACTTTAAATCATCATATGAGTGAGTTAGAAATCTAGGAATAAAGTATCTTAAATTATGGTTCCTTGAATGCATCAAGAACCTAAAACATCTAAATTACCCAAATTCAAAAACTTAACCACAAGTATGAATAACCTTCCCTACCCCAAATTTAGTCCAATCGGCGATGGCGCACTCTGACTATTTAAATATTGACTGATTTTTTAAAAATGAAATAAAAAATGAGAAAAGGAAAGCAGAAAATTAAGTATGATTTACCGAATACAAAATAGAATTATAAAATTAAAAAAATGTTTAAACTTCAAATGATATGTATATTGCTAAAACCTTAAATAAATAATGTACTTAAAGATTGTTTAACTATGAGGAGTTGGTACTGGGGTGTGTTCAAAGGAATACTACACGTCAAAAACTAGTATTGTTTACGCCGACGTTTCGACCCACTTAGTAGGCCTTCATCAGGGCGTGATATCGGGCACCGTAGGAAGCAGTTGGTACACTGGCTGACGAAATTGGTCTGATTGTTTAACTACGTTTTACATTTTTTTTTTTTATAAATAGAAAAAACTAAACAATAATGCCACGATTCTCTAAACATACGAGTGAATATTTACTTAACTTGCCAACGTTCCGCCAATTCAGATATCATCAAGGAAGATACAGAAAGATCACTTATATGCAGAAATAAAATACAAAAAATACATTATAATCAGCTGTTCAATATAACCTTCCTTAGCTAAGTTAAAAGAACCTTCTCTTTCATTCAGTATGTATTTGGTTGGCTTCGTGAGATGTCTACTGCAACAATTTTTTTTAATACATTTTTTCTTCCTTTTTTGTATTTTCTTTCTCCATATTACTGTCTTAGTTTTTCTGCCCTAATGATGTATGAATTGGCAAAACGTTGGCAAGTATGTTTGGAAACTCATGGCTTTATTGTTTAGAAATTCCCATTTATAACTTAATTACCTTAAGTCTCTTTTTTAGCTTTATGCTAATTTTTTACATATATTTTTTGATATTTTTTTTAAATTTAAAAATATTAGTTCTCTGTTTGTTTCGTTTAAGAAATAACGGAATGAATTAAAAAAAATTAAGTTTACATGTATTCACAGTGGTATGTTTCATACCCTGTGGTACGAATGTTCCCCCCAAACTGAAACTCCACTCACCAAAAATTCATAACCTAGTAAAAATGTGCTCCCCTAAAAACATTTTATGGTGTAACTTGCCACTCTCCGCTCAGCAAAGCTACTTATTAACCATGTAGTCCTCAGGTACCGACCCCCTTTTTTTTTTTTATCAAATTATCAACAAAACTTCGTGAATGTTTTCATCTTATTGTAACTTACAACTTTTCTCAAAAATAGGCCATTTTTTTCATTAAATTATTTAATTTAATGGAGGAAGGCACTAGGTAGCACAGGATATCCATTTCCTTTTCAGTTAAATCGCGTGATAATTTCATCACAAAATCGAGAAATAAAGTAGCCTACAAAAATATTGGACCATCTGGCTAATATAACCTGAATATTTTAACACGTTGGGGTTGGTCCAATGTTTTAGAACACCTTTTTATTTTTTTTTATTTCGCGATCAAATTATCTTACTATTTAAGTGAAAAGCAAATGGGTGTTCATTACTTTTTAGTTACTCAATAAATTGACAAAGTTTCTCCAGGTTGAAGATGCCCCGAAAATTATCGTAAAAAAAAAGTATGTTAGCTAGTAGTCCGTGGTACAGAACCGTTTTCATAAAACTATTAACATTTCCCTGAAACCTCGTGAATAGCTTCATCTTATCGTAACCTATAATTACTTTATTTATAAAAATTCTTGAAATTTTTCAATCTGGAGATCGGCAAACATTGTCTATTTAATCAGGTACTCTGGTGAAAAACTCGTAAATGCTCATGAAGAAAGCGTCATTTCTATATAGCATGGTTATTTTGGCATTTTGGGGGTGTCACGCCAAACAGCTCAGGGTTTGAACCGTCAGGGAAAAGGTGCTTTGGATAATGTCCTTCCCCATGCCTGGCATGCCATTATTTCTTGCGTTTCCATTCGCTGATTGTTAACAAAAAGTTGACAGCCTAAAATGAACTTTTTTTTATAGACAAAATAAAAATATTTTTGGCTGAAGGTCACCAAAGAATTCATTTATTTTTATTACTATTCTGCTATTGCCAAAGTTTCGGTTTACGCGCGATGTACTATAAAAATTAGTCACACAACATTAAAATGTTTAAATTTTCACACATAATTGTTCTATGAACAAGGTTATTGAAATCAAAGGTAAAAATTTTGGTTGTTGGTGCGGTCATCATAGAAATTACACTTTAATAAGAAGCCTTATTTTATTCTGTATCATATTTTATCTTATTCATTTATCAGGGTTAAGTAAATACAACCTATAAAAAAGATTGAGGAACATGACTATACAATAAAACGGTAAAACCACTATAAAATTATCTTTTATTTCATGATGATAGTCTTCAAATAACCTTTTTTCTCAATTTTGTGCTCAAATTATCTCAAATCAAATTAAATCAAAAACATATGATCGATTGAAAAGTTAATCAACATAAAAATTAAATCGATTTTTGAACCGGATTTTCTTAGCAAGAAAAGACTATAAGAACATTTAAACTTTAAGACGGAAGTGTTGAAAGGCAAACCGTTAACCTTGAAGAGTTTTTTTTTGAAAAGGAATACTACTTTTGAAAACAAAAGGTTAGATATCTGTAAGAATAATATATAGACAGTTAAACAAAGACGTCGACTAACTTCAAGTAAAAGAGATCAATCATCAACTTACAAGTCACCTTAAGACTTGTAGGATGACCAAAACGCAAAAACCAAAAACTTTAACTACTAAAAAGCGAACTCCAGCATTTGTAAAACTTTCGAAGTCGGATAAACCAGAACCTCCTAAGAAGGAAATCCGCGAGAAACCAACATTGCAACCTATCCCTATTCAAGTCACCGCATCTAATGAAACCGCGTCTCGAACCACGACTAACTCACCAAGAAATCAAGAAAAACCTTGCATAATTTCAAAGCCTCCTCCTATTCATGTGAAATCTGTCCAAAATTTTAAAACTTTATGTCAAAGCTTGGCATCTGAAGTAGGTCCTCGAGGATTTTACTGTAGTTGCAGCATGAATCAGACAACTATCTACCCGTCCACTTCAGATGACTATCGCAAAATTATAAAACTATTGCAAACACAAAACGCCCTATTTCATACATACCAACTCCAGGAAGAAAAATGTTTTCGCATTGTTATTAGAAATCTCCACCCTACAACTCCAACTGAAGACATTACAGTTGAACTTAATGATCAGGGATATAAAGTTAAAAATATAACCAACGCACAACATCCAAAAACGAAATTTCCTTTGCCGATATTCTTTATTGACCTGGAACAACACCCGAAAAATCAGGAGATATTCAAACTTGAATATTTGTGTTATACAAAAATAAAAATAGAAGAGCCATACATGCGAAAAGAACCACCACAATGCCAAAGATGCCAGGCCTATGGCCATACAAAAGGCTACTGTAGCCTTCCTGCCAAATGTGTCAAGTGCGCAGGACCACATCTCACAGCATTCTGCACAAAACCAAGAGAAACTCCTGCCACTTGTGCCAACTGCAATGGTGAACACCCGGCAAACTTCAAAGGATGCACTGTCTTTAAAACTTTAAAACAACTTCGAAACAAGCAATTAACCAATTATATATCCCCAGAAACCAGAGCAGATGAACAACCCTCCTCTACTCGAACCGAAAATCGTTCTGAATCCACTAATGCCAATTCATTACAACGCCAAACGAATGATGAAATTACTCCATTAGAACAAGAAATGATGAGGGATATTCCTCCATCGGAGCTATTTCGTGAACCAGCTGCCAAAGTAACAGGGAGTTATTCTTCCGTACTATCTTCTAATCCTCCTTCCTCGTCACTTGATATCTCATTGGCTATAAAATCTTCAATAGAACCTTTTTTATCTGACCTAAAATCCCTTCTTTCACCAATTCTGGAACTTCTCACTAAATTAGTCTCTGCTCTCATCTCAAACTCTTCCAATGATTAATCCAACACAACCTTCTCTTAAAATACTCCTGTGGAACTCTAATGGTCTGCTCTTACGCAAAAACGAACTAGAAATCTGTCTAAAAGTACACAACATAAATATTGCACTAATAACAGAAACTCATTTAACTGACAAACAAACATTCAAGATACAAGGTTACGAAACTTACAGGACCGATCATCCAGACCATACGGCTCATGGAGGTACAGCAATCATTGTGGACAAATCTTTAAACCATCATATACTTCCTGCGACCCCAACTAAAACCATCCAGTAAACCAATATTTCTCTAAACTCACCAAAACTGCAGCTTTTGGTCTCTGCAGTATATATTGCTCCCAACAAAGTTGTCTCTACTGATGAAATGAAGAATCTTTTCTTACCAATGGGGAAACATTTCTTAGTAGGTGGAGACTTCAATGCTAAGAACTTAAAGTGGGGCTCTAGACTATCAAGCACTCGAGGTAAAAGATTACTAAAATGCATTGAGGATCTTAAACTATCTATTATTTCCCCATCACAACCTACTTACTGGCCAACTTCTCTATCAAAATCTCCCGATCTTCTCGACTTCTTTGTCACACGTTCCTTACCACTCCCACACTCCAACATTTCCTCTCTTTTCGATTTATCATCTGATCATAGCCCAATTTTACTAGAACTGTCAAAACACCCTTTCGCAAAATCTAAACCACCGACTTTAATTAATGGCTTCATAAACTGGGACGACTTTCAAAATTACTTGAACAACAAAATTATACTAAATACTTGCATCAATACAGCAGACGAACTTGACGACGCAGTCAACGACTTTACAGAATGCATACACAATGCGATCTGGCATTCGACTACACCAACGAGGTCACTAACCAAAACTGATTCTTACCTGCCTCAGGGTATACGCAATCTCATAAAAGAAAAACGCAGAACTAGAGCTCTGTGGCAAAGAAGCAGATATCCATCACACAAAACAGCTCTTAACAGACTAACCCGAAAACTTCAACAAGAACTGTCAGCATTTAAAAATAACAGTTACAAGGACTACCTAAATTCAATGAACAATAGAAACGAATCAATATGGACAGCAACAAGACGTATACTTAAGACAAAAGATGTTCAATATCCTCTCCGACGGACGGACAATACCTGGGCCATAACAGGCGAAGAAAAAGCTAATGAATTCGCAAAACATCTTGCTCAGGTTTTTGGGACAAATAATATTCAGGACAACACGCACAATACTAAGATTGAAGACGATTTGACAACCCCACTACCCTTATCACCACCTCCGCCAGCATTTCACCCAAAAGACATTTACAAGGAACTCAACCGACTTTCAAACAAAAAAGCTCCTGGCTATGATCTTATCACTCCCTTCATCCTTCGCCACCTACCCCGAAAAGCCATTATCTTTCTTACTCACATCTATAATGCTATCTTACGCACAACTTACTTCCCTCTCCTTTGGAAACTCTCTACAATAAAAATGATACCTAAGCCTTCTAAACCTACCAGTAACCCTTCTTCTTATCGTCCGATTGCACTCTTACCCATAATGGGCAAAATATTTGAAAAATTATTTCTTCTTAGAATAAAGCCAATCCTAGAAAGTCGGGAAGTTATTCCGAATCATCAATTTGGCTTTCGTTCTTACCATTCCACTGTACAACAGTGTCATCGTATAGTAGATGCTATCTCAGTCGCCTTCGAAAAAAAAGAATTCTGCTCAGCGATATTCCTGGATATTGAGAAAGCGTTTGATAGCGTATGGCACAAAGGTTTACTGTGGAAAATAAAACCACACCTTCCTTCAACTTACTTTCTGATTCTTCAATCTTTCTTTCTTGACAGGTTCTTCTGTATTACTATTGATTCCTCTACTTCTCCCTTCTTTCCTCAAATTGCGGGCGTACCACAAGGTAGTGTTTTAAGCCCTCTTCTATTTTCTGTCTACACATCTGATATCCCTGAGCACCCTAGCACCATTCTCTATAGCTTTGCTGACGATACGGCAATACTTTCTTCTCACAAAAATCCCACTATCGCTTCAATAGCCCTTCAAAATCACCTGCACGTCCTTGAAAAATGGTTTCAGAAATGGGGAATTAACATCAATCCCAGCAAGTCAACTCATGTTAGTTTCTCCCTGAGGAAAATCTCGTGTCCTGCTGTGACAATAGACAATAAACCAGTTCCCTCAAAAACACATGTACGGTATCTCGGACTATACTTGGACAAAAAACTCACCTGGAACATTCACACTAAATTAAAAAAACAAGAACTGACCAGACGATATAAACAACTGTCACATCTTTTAGACTACAGATCTCCACTCAACTTACTAAACAAGCGACTAATCTACACCACTATACTAAGACCTATTTGGACATACGGAGCAGAACTTTGGGGTTCCGCAAAACACACACACATCAACAAAATTCAAACCACACAATCCAAAATACTCCGTAAAATTCTCAATGCTCCTTGGTTTATTTCAAATCACACCATACACAAAGACATGAACATACCAAAAGTAAAATCCTACATACACAACAAATACACAACATTTCACACTTCTACTCTCAATCATCCAAATCCACTCGTTCTATCTCTATCTTCCTCCCTGTTACCTGGTGAGCCTCAAAGACGACTAAAAAGGCAGTGGCCTAGAGATCTGTTGAAAAGTTAAGAAGATATCAGGAATCAAGAAGATATAATTAACGCCAACACATTTGCTTGATGCGTTCCAACGCAGTGGCAAATTTAAAATAACAAAATAAATAAATAAAAAAAAAAAAAAAAAAAATTATCTTACGATTGGAGTTGAAATCAAATGTGTATTTACAAGTTTTCAGTACTTAATTAAATGGGCAAATTTTGCCTATCACTTGATCGAAAACACTCCAATTCCGAGAATTTTAGAAGTTTCAGGCGGATGTTAATAATTTGATAGAATGTGTTCTGTACCACGGACGATAGTCAAGAGGTTATTATATCATATAAATCATTTGTTAAATTTATTTTACCATAAATTGGGAAATTATGTATTGGGAAGAGAAGAAACCAAGAACATTATTTGTTACTTTTAAGTATCGGTGATTAGCAAATCATTTCTGAGTAACTAAGTAGAACATATACATATTGTAGCAAGCTGTTCAATCATCGAGTTTGGGATAGAATTTCTCAAGTTTAGTAAAGCCGTGAAGTTTGTTTTCAAAAGATCATTTAAATAGAGAGACTGACTCTTTGAGAATTAACAGCGAAGTTTTCAGAAAGGCGTTGAAGGTAATGTTGATCGCAGAAGTTACTCCCTACCTGAGGACTTACTTCTGATAATAAAACCGGGAGAGATGGCTTCTCCATTAATCATACCCTCAGAGCCTGCGGCCGGCACGAAACAATTCAACTCTTCTTTTGTCACGGGTCATTAAGCTACCTCGACCGCCGCTGGAAAATCATTATTGAAAAAAGAAGAAGAAAACCCTGTTGCTGGCCTTCGGGGTACTTAGTGCTTATGTACTTAGCAATAAGGTGCTTAGTTGCGGCTCAATAGCGACGAGCCACTTATTGCTGTGCTTTATGATTACATACTCATTACAAAGGTTCAGCTGACACCGATGAAGAAAAAACAAGAGTTTCTTTTGAAAGCAATAATTTTACTCCCTTCCTTAGGCGCTGACTTCGAGGGAGAGGGGGCGAGGATATAGTTCCACTCTCCCCCTCCCATAATAGTTTGAGATAAAAAAAAAAATTAAGATCGATAATAAGTAAGCTACATGAATGAATAAAATATTTTAACTAAAATCGATTAAGATGTATAATTAATTAAATATTGAAATATGTAAATAAAATTCATAACTATGGTGTAATAGTAGCTATGTAACTATTTATTAACTAAAAGTTAGTTGTATTTAAATTTTTATATATACAAAAATAATTATATACATCAACATATCCTATGACTTTATGATTCAATGAGCCTGTCTTAATGCTAAAGGAGATCACTTTGAACATTTAAAATTGAACATTTAATTTATTATTACAGTAGTTGGATCAAATAAATAAATTTTATTTACTTAATATAACGTACATTGAAGAAATCTTATGTCTTTTACCACTATGTTGAGTTAAAGTGGCTCTTCCCCTCCTTTCGAAGACAATATTTCCTAGGTACGTTCCTCTATCAAATCATCAACAACCATCATCCTTCTTCCGCCTACAACCTTCTCCAATTCAAGTCCTCAGTCCATTCCCTTTCAACAAGATCTCGACCTTCTGACCTCTACATCCCTTCGCACAGATCTGTCTCTTTTCTAAGCTCCTTTATAGCTCGCGCTGTCAATTTCTGGAATTATCTACCTAACAAAATTCGGCATTCCCTCTCTATATCCTCATTCAAAACCCTACTATTACAATTCAAATCCCAAAAACAGTCAGATACTTGCTAAACTTTTGATATTATACATTTCTATCCATCATCAAACGATAGTACTATTCTATACTGTGAACTTCATTAGGGATATTACAATATCTTCCTGCTCTTAATGCCACTTAATGCATCTATTGTTTGTTTTTTATTCTTATATAATTAAATCTGTACCTATAGCTAGAATTAAACAATGATGCGTCTCCATATTATTCATTATTTAAATACACTGACATTTTATATTTTTAGCTTTGTCTTTTCGTTGTTAGCAGAAACACACCTCATTTTAAAGAATAACTCAATGTATTTTTTATTATTTTATTTTTCAAAAG